TTTAGCCTAGGGTAGGGTCCCATGCTGTGCCACTGGGGATGCTCACACCCCCAGATTCTTTTACCAGATTTCAAGCAGATCAAGAGTGTGTTTTGTCATTTTCACATGCTTCATGGGGTTGAGCATATGGTAGTGGCTTATTTAACACACTTGTTGAATGCCATGGTTCCTAAAAGGGGGGAGGTGCCAGTGCTCACATTTTGTTCACTTTGCCTATCATCCTTCCATGCCTCTGAGCAAGCTCTGTAGCATCTGTGTCTTTTATGTTCTAAGTTACCTAGTGCACCATGGATTTCAACATACTTTTATTAAGAAAATCAAAGAAAGGCTATTGTTTCTCAGTACTTCATGCACTTTATATTTTTGCTAGGCAGTCACATTGGACAACCAACCTATATAGTTATTTATGAATGTGTTTAGTTCTGCAAAATTAATTGAGGTAGGAATGGTAATGTCATTCTAAGAGTTTTGTGTCTGTGGTCCTCCAGTGAAAGGGTATTGTCTGCTGTGTGAACCCATGTCTTTGCCAGGATTTACCTGACTGGATAGATAGTTGGATGGGTGATTTAATCCATGGACATACGTCATTGTTTGCCATTCTTGTTGGACATCAGGCATACCACTCCAGCTGCAGTGTCTCGGCTGAAGTTTCCTCTCATCAACCAGAAAGCTCGCTGCCAAATGTGGCTTCTAGAAGAGGTAGATTTCTTTCTATTTAAACAGGAACTGGCATGTTTTAGAAAAAAGAATTACATAAATTTAGGAAGAGGGGAATCTTTTCTAGATGTGTTCACTTAACACAATTATACTGCAGGATTACTATGTACAAAGCACTGTTCTGGATCTTAGTAATGGTGGAGCTCAAGCATTGCAGATCAGTTTTCATGAATCATGTCTAGGGGAGCTAGAGAACACCAGTGCACACTTGTGTGTCCATTCTGAGCAAGTGGAAGCATGCCATTAACATATCCACTGGTAAGCATGTTCCTCCAATTTCTAGAAATTAAGTGAAGATGGAATTTTTTGCTATTGAAATCCTCACCCAAGGATTTCTTTCCATTGATTTTTAGAAAGAGTGAAAAGGAGTGGGGAAAGGGGAGAGAGAGAAAAACATCAGTATGAGAGAGACAGGTCAATTAGTTGCCTCCTGCACATGCCCTGATCAGGGCTGGGGATGAAACCTACAATCCAGGTACGTAACCTTGACCAGGAATCAAACCCATGACCGTTCAGTGTGCAGGTTGATGCTCTAACCACTGAGAAGTGCCTGCCAGGGCAAGATGGAATTTTAAAAGGAAAAAAGACTTTTTCAAAAATATTTAATACCAGGGTTGATTTAAAAATTGAATGCTAATAGGAGGCTCCCCTAGGCCATAAGTGCCTCCTTTGTTTGAAAATCTATGCCTTGGGGATGCCTTGGTTATTATTTCATAGTAGGCAAAGAAAGTGTCTGCTTGTCTTGTCCAGCTCAGCATGTAACTAAGGTGGTTGTGGTTCAAAAAGCATTCTGTCTACCCTATTTTCACACTTGAGAAAATGCAGGCTCAAAAGTATGGCACCTACTCACTTGTTTTGATATTTAATCATAAATGTATTTCAATATGTCTAAACCTTTTGTGTATGTGTGTACACACATACATGAACATGTAATGTTCTATGTCTAATAATGTGAATTATCAATTTAATAAATATATGTTCAGAAGTCTCTGTGAAAAGAGGTCCTGAAACCTGGGAGAAGGGTCCAAAATTTAAAAAAAAAAAATCTAAGGAAACTCTGAAGGAAAAATCTAAGGAAGCAGGCTGCTCTGAGCTCTAGTAATTGCATGCAGTGGGAGGCAGCAAGCCAGAAACCTGAGGGGCAGAGCAGGTGTGTGCCTTCAAAAGAAAATAAGCCTAAT